AAAAGTCTACATATATTGAAAAGAAATAATAAATTGGCAAAGAAGGACATGTGATCATAAGCTAAGCTCTACGATTTCATATTTGTGTATTGAAAATGATGATAGAGGCTTGGACCATCAAATTTTAGTTTCCTGTTCATTAAACGGCGAAAATGAGACAAAGTGCAAGACCAACATGTGAAAAACAATGGCTACTTACATTTTTTTCTTTAAATTAGACTGGAATTTAGTTTTTTTTTGTTAAAAAATGTTTAAATTTAGTTACTTTATTTCACTAAATACTTTTGGTTCGTCATACAACTCTTATATGTGGACTATTCATCAATGTTCAAGGCAAGATGAATTTAAAAAACTTCTCTTATTTTAAAGTCTATTAATTTCTAATTAGTTCTATCGAGTGTTTGCATAAACTGTAGTTAATTGATTTCTAATATTCTCTGCATAGCGAAACAAAAACATGCATTATTGAGAATAGAGCATGACTGCAGTTCCATGCAAAATTGTTCTTATGTTCGTAATGGTTCATGTTTGGGTTAATTATAAATTCATTAAATACTCTGCAAATTTTTTTTCTTTTCTTTTTAGAAGATGAAAGTAGAAAAAAACTACTATATGTGTAGCCATTAGTAGTACTAATCTCCATAATTTCATTTTTCCGCGCGAATTTGTTTCCTAATTAGTGATAATGATAAATAAACAGTTAAAAAGTATATTTTTTTAAAAAGAATTATGATAAAAATCAGTTGTTTAAAGACGAAATAATTCAGTCAGTATTAATTATTTTTCTACAGTGGAGAAACTTTCTACAAAGTTACTTTCTCTGATCAAACTTGGAAAACATCAAATAAATGTGTTGCCAGTGAACAAAATTCCATAGTCAAGTCTTCCCCAAAAAGAAAAGTCAACAATGTTTATATCGTAGATTTTGGTTTTACATACTTACAAAATTGGACATTAAATAACATTCGCTATCAACTAACGTTACGGTATAGATGTAAATTAAAAGGACCAATAAATCCCATAATTTTAATTTGGGATAGAAAAATAAACCCTAAAGGATTTGAAGTCTTCTTCGTAAATTATAGAATTGGTCCGTAATGGACGGTGGTCGTCGTTTCACACTCTCCGTCCACCATTCTTTCTTCTTTCTCTAAAAAGCAATGGCCTTTCAAGCTCCATCAATGGCTCTTTAGCTTCAGAAACAAAAACAAACAAAACCCCAATTCTATATTAACCTTTACCATAAGTTTATTCCTCTTCTTCTCATCACTCGTGTCCTTTTCTCAAATCTCTCTGTCGTCTTCCTCTCACCGCCTCTCTCGTGATTTCTTCTTTATCCAACCAAAAAAATCTCACCTTTATATAAAAATCCGATACATCTATCCATTTAAACCATACC